GGTGGTGGTGATGATATATTCCCATCTTCTGGTGTTAAAAAACTTTTTTTTTTTTTTTTTTTTTTGGTTTATTCAAATCAATTCGGCTGTCGAAAACAGTTGAATGGAGAACAAAAAAAAAAAAAATAACCTTTCATTTTCTTCTTGGGTATTTTTTTTTTTTGGGTTTTATTTCAGTTTTCGGTGTGACCGATTTGAATTTGAATGGAAAAAAAAATTACATAAGAAAATTTCGATGAATGAATGGAATGAATGAAATGTTTGAATGAAGAGGGGTGTGAAAAAGAAGAAGAAACGAAGAAGATGGAGAAGGTGGGGAAAATGAACATTGAATTTTCAAATGAATCGCTATACAGAATTTTATTTTCTTTTCTTCTTTTCTCATTCTTCAAGTTTGACATTCAGACATTCGCAAATATCACTTTAAAAAAACACACTGTGTTTTTGTTATGTGTTTAAATTTAGATATTTTTTTTTTTGTTGGTGTTGTTTGATTTGTGTTTGGTTCGTAAAAGAATCACCAAATTTTATGTAATAAAAAAAGGAAAAAAAACATTTTCCGAAAAGGAAAATGTTATCAAATCATCAACACTGTGTACACAAACACACACACACACAAGCAAACATTTCACCATCATCATTTAAATATGCAAGAGAGAGAGAAAAAAAAAACAAGAAATGATTTTTGATGATGATGATGATGATGATGTGTGTATCATCACATCATATATTCCAGGAACATCAGCAATGAATAATAATAATAATAATAATAATAAAAACAAAATAAAGCAAAATGAAAGATAGTTAAAATGATGATGATGATAAAATGACATCCCATATAATAATAAAAATAGTGATATTTTACATGATGTTTTTTTGGTTTGGTTTGGTTTGGTTTCCTGGGTTTATTTGTTGGCCAACATAAAAAATTTTTTACTTGAATTTGATTATGTGGGACACACAAACCAGAGAGAGAGAGAGAGAGAGAGAGAGAGAGAGAGAGAGAGAA